TCTATGCTTCGATTCAGTTCGCCCTCATTGTTCTCTTTGCTCATATTTTCTACAACTTGGTAAGATCTTTTTTTTAATATCTATATACATATATAGATTATTTTCATGTTAAGAAAAAGATGATCTTACTTTGAAATTTTTTGTAGCTTCATGTTCAACCAGTTTTATCGATTCTTCTGTCGACTTTCGCTGGTTTTGGTGTGGCGATTAGTGCAAGTTCGATTCTCGTGGAGGCCGTGAGATGGAGGAGAAGAAGAGAAGGTGTTAGAATTCGGAACGAGATGAATAGCCAGATAACTTTGAATCCTAGTCCGGAAAGTCCGTAAACTTCTAGAGGAAGTTAGAATTCGGAGAGTAGTAAAAGGGAGTTATTGCATATTTCTGCGATTAGTAGCATATATACCGTGTGTTTGGTCGTTGAGTTATGTTGTACTAAACTAATACTCGATAAATTAATAACACCGATTAAATAATAGTTTCTCTCGGTCTCGACTCGGTGAAAACGTGTCAATTATTAACTCGATAATTTAATAATTCACTAAATTAATAAAAAAATTATTGTCCTGACTGTATTAATTTATAGAGGTGTAGTGTGTACTGTGACGAAGAAAGAAAGATGATTATATGATTAGAATCGAGTTTTTTTTGTGAGCGTTTGTCCCACATCGGTTGAGAAGCATAGAAGGGTAAGAAAAGTGGGCTATAAAATAGGATGGGCTAACTTGGGAAAGCTCATACCTTTCTCGGCCTTTTGGCTAAGATCAAGTGTAGTATCTGTTCTTATCAGTTTAATATCTGATATGTGGGCCATTGGCCCACACGATATTAAATTAATTTTTTAAGGGGGAAAGCCTATCAAGGTAGCTTGCTGCTTGGGCTTTCGCGCGTCGCCCTTGCGTTGCACTACTGCACGGGCCTGGCGCACCCCACCCAATCCTAGTTAATATTTTGGTGTTAGTGATTTTTACATGTTACAAGTAATTATTCATTCAATAACAAATAAACAGTGTATTTATATGAACCAAAATTGCACGTTCTTACCTAAACTTCGGTTTTTGTTGCACAGTGCCTCAAAATTGGAATTTTCCGGCCATTTTGACCGGAATCTTACGCACGTGCTTTTCACGTGAGTTTTAAAGGGGCAAAAGAGTCTATTCACTTACATTCTTCGTAAATAAAAAAAAAAAAAAAAAAAAAG